GGACTTCGTGAATATTTGCAATAAACCGACGATATCTATAAGAGTACATAAATATTAAAACAGTAGATATATTCAAACACCGAAGGTCAGTATTCAATAGTGAAGCAACCTCCACTAGTGATACAGACCAAAGAAGGAAGAAAAGAAATGGCAATGTTCGACGGTGTCCTTTGAAACTCGAATATTCAGCCTAGTCCAAAAAGGCGAATGTGCAAGGGTATATTCGATCCTATAACGACTTATGGCTTGGAGACATGGCTCATCAATGAAAAATTCCGGAAAAGACTGTCAGCAGCAGAGATGAACTTATGGAGAAGAGCAGCTAGAAAATCCAGAAGGGGCAGAATAAAAAATGAAAGGATTCTAAAGCTGATGAAGAACATTCTAGCAAAAAAAAAAAAAATTAAGATGGTTTGGAAACGTCAAAAGAATGTCTGCAGAAAGATTTCCAAAAATAAGTATGGAACTGGAAGTAGAAGGAAAAAAGGAAGCCCGAAGATAAACTGGAAGAAAGCTTGGCAGGACATGGGAGAGAAAAGCTAGCCATGAAAGCTTGTTAAAATCTTCTGAATGACAGTTAGGTCAAGGAGAACCACAATAGTGAAAAATTCGGTAACTGTGACTTAGTCGTCGCCAAGAAACCTCCTTTCTTATTTCATGTAACCTCTTGTTATCTTTCCGTTACTTGGGCGTTATTAAATTGTTTTCAATTTAATTCTATTTTTTTGTTAAAAATGGATTTAACACCTTCGGTATTGCCGTTTTCGTAAGAAGAAGCTGTAAAATACTTTTAGAAGTTCCGGATAATGCCAAAGGTGAATTATGTGAAAAAGATCATGAAAGGGGAAACAGACGAATGTTTCACGATAAAAATAAAAGACAGAAAAGCAACGATCTATTAGAATGTATTAAAAATATTATAGAAGAGAGAAACACTATATATTCTGACTGTTAGAAAAGAAATAAGTAGATTTTTAATTAAAATTAAAATTGTATCTGTTTGATTATTGTTTAATCATTTTCTTAATTGTTTTATTTCATTAAGATATAATTTTAGAAATGGAAATAATTTGATACTTGACTATTGAGAAACCCTTTTTACCAAGGCCAGGGGTCCATTCTCCCATCCCAAGGTCGATGGCTCAAAAACCTACCCTCCACCCTCACAAGATATTTTATTGCTTATCTTTTCTTAAAAACAGAACAACGGAAGGTAGAATTAGCAAAATCACAGATAATATACAATTACAAACTTGCTGCGGTCTAAAACATTTCATTCCGAATCCCGTCAAAATATGCCCCCTCAAAAGTTTTAATGGCGCAACTTACGCCATAAACCCTCTGTCTGGGCATAGTCCTGGAGCCAGGGCTCAAAAATCAACCTTATCGCAGGTGAAAGTTTGATTGTAAATTACGAAAGTGTATGTTATTCGGAGTAAAAGCAACGTTGTCTGCCATTCCAGAGCCGCTGCTTTAAAAAATGGCGGCTGATTAGCCCAATAATTTGTTAAACGGGAAACCCATTGCGAAAAATGTGAGAAAAGTTTTTATTTTTTTAACTTGTATATATGAGTTTAGACATGTAAAAAACAAAGTCGCTGACGCGGGCCACCAAGCGAAAACTTTTTATAGCCAAAAATGACAGATTTTTTTTATTTAATAAATTAAAGAACGTTAATTTTTGCGTCAAACGAGTACATAAACTTTGTAATTTGGTTATGCGGTAAGGCATAAAACCATGGTCAACTTTACCATTGACGCAAAATTTGATGCTCTAAACTTTGATTCTATGGATTTTTCCTCTTAGGGAACTCATTTCCAAGTTACAAGTTCATTTATAGTAATTTGTCAAAGTTTTTGACAAATCTGGTAAAAACCAGCATTGGTTGACCGTGATTTTAAATCTTACCTCCAACATTCAAACCTTCGCCTGCGATCAGGTCGATTTTTGTCCCTAGCTCCAGGACTAGCACCCCTAGCTCAGGTACTCTTGTCATAGTCAGACAGATAGAAGTATTGGGGCCACTGTTACACCCATCTCGCGAACAGCTGTCACAATCATGTAAAGGAACATTAAAAATATGCTTTCGGGTGACTATGCGATGAAAAAATATTTTTATTTAATTTTAAAACAAATGTAAAAATGTCTTATATATTTTTACTTTCACTTGCCTGAATATGAAATATATAGTAAGATAAAGTATTGTAAAATATACTTTTTGAGGTTCACTGAGTTCAAATAACAAAGTCTCACAAAATGGTATGTGAAAGTGTGTAAGGAGGTTAACAGTCTAGCTCAAAACAAAACGTCGTACTAAAGTGAAATTGCATATTTAAGATTGCCTGGGATGTTACAGAAACTTTTTCGCCAAAATCGGCTAACTGGAAGTAGCACTTTATATCTGGGACTGAACATATTTTTACAATTTTGCTCGAAAACGGCTCTAATTATTTTGATTAAATTCATTTTATCATTGTGTAATTAAGCATTTTTAAAAGTAATTTACGTTTTATTTTCATTGATGTTCTCTAAAAGGGCTTGAATAGTTAATTTTTAATGTCACAAAAACTGGAGCTTGGATATGAAGCTCTGCCACATCTACCCTACTCTCAGGACCTCCACCCTACAGATTATCATTTTTTTAAACACCTAGGCCACTACTTACATGACAAAAAAATTAATGGACAAAGGGAATTAAAAAATGCGTTTTTGGAGTTTATCAATTCTAAAGATGGGAAATTCTATTCCAAGGGAATGGAAAAGTTTGTTCATAAACACCCAAGAAATGTATTGATATTAGTGGAGACTATTTTGATTTAATAAAACGGTTTCAAATCTTTCTTTTCAAACCAAAATCTTGCAGTATTTTCCAAACAACCCAATAAATAATAACAAAAGTTTTTCCCAATAAATTTTTTCATATTATCAGTTACTGGACACTTGTACCACATCATCTTGTGTGCCTATACCCAGGATTATCAAAAAACCAAGTGGGAGCAATATCAGAGCTTTTAGTAGATGCATTAGAAGATTCAGTATTTTCAGTAAGTACTGGAGAATATTATTATACAGAAGTAAGGTCCTGTTGATTTGTAATAAATGATTTATAATTTGAAAATTACAGACCTTGGAATGGTTTCGAAGTATGTATATGCTTTTTGAGATTATAAATTGAGGTTTTATAAATGATTTTTACAAATTATACATTTTGCAAACACCGAATCCCCCTGCTCAAAAAGTTCCCATATAGCATTCTCTTCACTGAGCATTCTGATGACCAGTTTAAATAATAATACTATAACACTAATACACAATTAAATTATGTTAATAGCATAACATGTTGTTAGATTCGCTAAGCTGCTTCTGTGGGTTGTGGCACCAACTAAGAGGCAACATCTTGTCCAGAAAAACTAAACTTCTGCTCTACAAAGCAATCATCAGACCCAGTGCCAGCCTTAGGACCCGGCAACTGAGACAATTACCCCGTGGTGCTGACCTCGAGGGGCCCCAATCATCAGGGGTGCTCGCCAATTGTAGGAAATAAATATAAATTACAAAATATATTAAAATAATTAATAATTGAGTTAAAAGATATACATAAAAGACTACTAAGCAAAATATAATTTTATTACATAATCATGTTGATTTTAAATTAGCATCTTCCAATTCCATTTATCACAATCAATTTTTCTAAAAAGAATATTCATATACTAATTAGTTTACCTTAAAAAATGTTTAAAATAAGATCTTATAAAATTGATGAATTTATTGACTAATTTATAATTAAAAATTAAACAATTATGATATAATATGATATAATCTAAAAATGAGGTAATATAAAAAATTACAGCAATAGCATATTTACACAGCAGTAAACTAGGCAGTCGTCTATAGAGATAAATTTTGATGAGTGGCAAAATTTGAATGAAATTATATTTTTAAATTCAAACATTCTAAACATAAAAAAATTCTCAGTTAAGCGCACATAACTATAAAAATTATATCCACTTAGAGTTTAACTAAAAGCTATAATTGTTTTGAGATATAGGAGTGTTGGGCCGTTATCTGCCATACCCGTGGGAAGACACAATAAACTCCGAATGACAACAGTATGAAAGACTATTAAACACCCTATACAACTTAAGAAGATAAGAACAATTGAAATGAACCAATTAAATAAGCCATAATAAACAGTTATATCTGCCCACAGGTCATATAGTTATCGAATTCTTCTTATTTGAATATTTCAGGGATGCTACACTAATGTAGCCATCTTCAGTATACAATATGTACCAATACTTTTGGGTATGCCCAACTTATAATACTACTTTAATCGTGTCTAACTAAACTATTGAAACACTTTAATTAAATTAATCTGACTACACTGAAGTAATATAATGTAAGATTAAACATGTAAAGTAATGAAATTAAACTACTCAGAAGAAAAATCAATTTTATTTAAAACTTATTATTATTGCTTTATATATGCATTTTTTTTTTTCAGTAGCAGTCCTACTATTAGGACTTCTAGAGCTTTAAATTAGTAAAACATAACAAATAACAAGCCTGAATTTCACCAGTATGAACTTGTCATTCAGAAGAAAAACCACTGTTCTGTAGATATATAAATAACAACTTGTGTGTAAACAGTTAAAACAATAGTGATGGGAAACAAAATAAAAACTAAATATACTGATATCTGATAACAAATATAAATATATTCTTGTTTTACATTATTATTAAAATCATTTAATAAAATAAAAGCAGATGGTTGTTAGGTCAAGATGAAGTTAACAGTTAAATCAACATGTTTTAATATTTATAAGCCTCAATATATAATTTTTATAATCATCATAATTTAAAAAATACAATTTTATAACAATAAAACAAAGCTGACTAGTAAAACTAACAATTTGAACAATTAAAACTAGAAAAAAAAAATTTAAGAGCTACAATACAACTTTTTAAATTTAACAACACAATCATCGTTTAACATTTGTTAAACGATTGATTGTTGATAATCTTTTCCCTCGTGTTCAACCAATTCACAATTGAAATGATTCTGAAAGCATTTGAGAAACCTAGGAATAACATCATCTGGAGTGATATTACAGTTTAACTCTGTAGAAAGTGATGTCACACCTTTACCCTCGATACCACAAGGCACTATATGTTCAAACCAAGACATGTCAGTAGAACAGTTCAAAGCTAGACCATGCGTTGTCACAAACTTAGAACCATGAACACCAATTGCACACAGTTTATTATTTCCTATCCAAACACCGGTATGTGGAGATCTACCACAACCAAGAGAATATTCGGAGCATAATCTGATTACAACTTCCTCTAAACTCTCCACATACCATCGCATACTTGCTTTGAACATTTTGAGATTGAGGATGGGATATGCAATGAGCTGTCCAGGTCCATGAAATGTAACCAAGCCTCCACGATTTGTATAAACAAATTCGGCCCCTAATTTCTTAAGTTTTTCCTCATATTCTGGGCCATAATCTTTCCTTCTTAATCCCACTGTATAAACTGGCGAGTGTTCCATCAACAACAAAGCACCACCAGAGAAAGGATATTGTTTCGCCTTTATCAATTCAGCCAAGTTGTTTTGCAGATCAAGAGCCTTCATATAGCCCATTAAGCCCATCCTCATAGTAATCACACTAACAGTCATAATAATAAGGAAAAACAGAACTAAAAAACAAAACAGTTTCTTTAATGCAATAAAGAAAGAATATTTGGAGATTTAGATTTCTTGAGATGTTTGTATACAGCAAGTGATGCCTAAAAAAGGATAAATGATTAAAAATCCCTATCATACAATTTAAAGGATATTAAAAGTAAACTATACCCATACATAGGCATCTGATGCAGCATATGAAACTTGTTCTTTTTTCAACCGATCAACAGCCCAGTTACTTATGCGGACATCCTTAGGTTTTTCCAAAATCAAATTTAACTAAACAGAGAATAGGAAAGAATTATTACAAAAACTAACTATATCAAAATACTTAAACATAAAGGTTCAGTAAAATCTGTCAATAAAATACACTTCTTGGGTAAGTGGTTTCATTTTTAATGCGTATTTGTCCATTGAGAAGGTATAAATTTCAAGAAGGCAACCTGTTACATAATTGCCTCACATCAAAAGCTGGTTTTCAACTACCCCATGAAATCTGTTTCAGAAATAACTCAATAAAATTTACAAATTTTAACCTATCCATTATGGGTGACTGACTGTTAAGAAAAACCTTTCAACTTTAAAAAATAACAAGTCTTTGTCTTTAGTTTAGGTAGCTGAACTACATTTTTCTTTTCATTAATTAATTCACATTATCCTTTGTAATTATATAATTTAGTTTTTGTCATGATAGTGTAGTTTAACCAAATTTTTTCCAATGTTGTCCTTAAGTTCGTCATGGAGTTTTGCATTTTGAATTGAATGAATAACCTTCATGTTGTCAGCGGAAATCGTTATGTGCATTAGTAACTATCTTATTCTCAAAGAGATAGTCAGTTGCTTTAAGAACAGCTAATTTCTCCATCTGATTATTGGAACATCCATTACCCAATCTATACTGAGCTTGCATCAGTGTTTCGTTTTATATTTTAATATTCAGGCACATCCCACATTATCTCCATCCTTGCTTCCATCTGTATATATTTCTGTCCAGGTTTCTGTGTCAGTTGGTACATTCAGTAGTAATTAAGCTTGTATTGCAGGGTGGCTCCATTATTTACAATTACTTGGAGGGTCTATATTTTCGTGTAGTATATGTTTGTAGTTACCAAGTTGTTTGTTAATGTCAAATAGTTGTACTGTTCCTAGTATTTTTAAACCTATTGGAATCATTCTTGCCAAAATGCATGCATGTTCATGAGAGATGGTATGGAATGATAATTACAGATTTTAATACCAATTTGAAGCCTCCAAAGTTCCATAAAGTTCGTTTTCCGAAGCAAATCTTTATGCCACACATGGACGGCATATAAGATTTTTGGGAGGACTGTTTCTAGATATAAGGTCTTAAGAAATCCTGGCAACTAATGTCAATCTGTTGAAAGTTTGTAGAGCCTGATTATAAACATTGTCTGGGTGTCTATTCCAGTTCATTTTTCAGTCATAAAGTATGCCTAAATATTTTAAAGGTTTGTGTTGTTTTAATTGTGAAAAATTTAAATTTGGTATAGTCCGTTTTTATGAACAAATTCTGTTTTCTGTGGATTGAAAGCAACTTTATAATAGCTCACTCACCTTGTTGGTCTGGAACTAGGTTTGTTCGGACCTAGGACGAACTAGGTCACTAGGTTCGTTACAGCTTCTAGTTCTTTAATATTTCATCATTTAATTAGCAATAGGACATCGTCTGCATATACAATTAAATTACTGTATTGTCGAAGGTCCCTTTGATGTTCAAGCTTACTACTAGCAAATGTCTTTTTGATCTAACACTGCGCTGATGTGTTCATTAAGAACACAGTGTGTCGTCTGTTCCTGCCTGCAGTCGGAAAGCAAATTGATTTGGATGTAATAGTCCATTTGTCGAAAGAAAGTACATGTCTGATAATTTTCTCGAAAATTTTGTTATCACTAGTAACATGCTCAGAGGTCTGCTAGAACTTGGATCTTTTTTTGGGATCAGTACTAATTTAGCCATTTTCCAAATTTGTGGAAATTCTTGTCTAATATAAAAAGTTTTGTATATTTCCAAAACAATATGGGAGAAAAATTCAGTTATCTTTATTACTATGATTGGGATAGGTAATATTATTGTGTGATAGAGATTTTTTGTTATTTAAACCATTAATGATTTCTATTATTCCTCCATCTTCGAGTGTTAAATTGTCAGCTGTGTCACGTGGGATAGTTACATCACATCTTTTTAAGCTCTGTTCATTGCTATTATTGTTTTGACATTATTATTGTTTTGAATTGAATGATTGAATATGTAAGTAAGTGTTTCTATTGAATCGTTCGTGTATTCCCCATTATCGGTTAAAAGTGTTTACAAAGTCATTTTGTTTTTAAGTGTGCCTAAAACTCATTCATAAGGTCAGCTCCAGGCTGAAAAGGCTGTAGTATATAATTTCCAAGTTTTTCATTTTCGACTTCTTTAGCAGTCGTTTGTAATTGCATTTCGTATCAAGGTAGTTAGTTTTTCAATGAATGTTGTAATTAGTCCATTGTTATACCCTTCTGAGACAATTCGTTTCTTTCCGTAGGTTCATTATTCCACCAGGGTACTGTTCAGTTAGAATTGCTAAATGATTATTTTCCTCTACTTTTTTTTAAAATCATATTACTCGTTTTAATTAAAACAGTGGTTAGTTTTTTCGTAATAGTTTCTGTTGTAATTTCCTGTAAATGTGTAATTATTTTATGTTCTAGTTATGTCAAATCCATTTCCTTGTCATTGAGAGGGAAAAATTGTTTTTTTCAGATGAAAAGAACAATAAGTTTTAAATTTTTCCTAATCTACATTGTTGGTAATGTAAAGGGAGTAAATTGAATGTCTAGTTATTCCTACATGCTTGGTTTTTGTCAAAATTTCGTAAGCTATATAATTATGGTCCAAAAAGTTTGTCTCTTTAGAAATTCTCCAATTATTTACTTCAAAATGTCTAGCTAATGTAGGATTTTTGTGAGATTGATGTTACTTGTTCCAGTCGTACTTTTGAATGTTGTTAAGTCAGATTCATGATTTTGCAGTATCAGGTCATTAGCAAGTATAAAAGCCTCTAAAATTGTTATTCTTTAAACTTTAATATATATATATATATATATATATATATATATATATATATATATATATTTAATATATATATATCTATCTATCTATCTATCTATCTATCTATATATATATATATATATATATATATATATAGATAGATAGATAGATAGATAGATAGATATTAAAAAAGAGTTAATGATAAAAATTAATAACTATCAGAGATGAAAGTTTTTCATTTAATTATATAGTATAAAGTCCATACTGCTTCGAAAGTACAGCAACATGGGCACGGCATTAAAAAGGGTTGTTAGTAATTGCTTCAGAATTTTAATGTTAAACTTCCTGCGTGATTAATGATAATCCATTTCGAACGTTGAGCATTCAAAACCACAGAAGAATAAAAACTAAAGTCACTCAGTACCCATAAGACAATCAGTACTTTCTAGACTATGACTATCCTTTTAAAAGCACTTTGACACTAGTAATGCTATATATAAAAAAAATCCTTTAAAAGATTTGTTTTCTTTTAAATTCAAAGCTTATATGAAGAAAGAATTTTAAAAATTGTTAATTTTGGTGTGCATAGAAGATAGGAGCTTATCGGTGTTATTTTATTAAACTAAATACATAAATTCATTTTTATTAACATAATCACAAAAATTGATATTTCATTAGATTTAATTAACATGATATGTAAAAATGCTAGTAAATAAAAGAAAGAAAAATAAATAATAGACAACTAATAGTAATTATTTTTTTGAAAATAAACATTCATTAACTATAAAGCAACTTAATTTGATTAATCAAATACTTGATTAATGAGCAGAAAATGACATTATAATTTTCTACTAAGCTAGTAATGTAATAATTTAATAATAAATTTGGCTCTACTGAAACAAAAATTCACTAAACAAATAATAATGTTAATTGTAATAATTATCTTAATGCATTATTATTAAATGTGGATAAATCTTACCTGATTTAATACAAGACCATCCAAACTCCACCTCTGGGAAACATTAAGTTTCTTGTTGGCCAAAGAGCAAAGTTCAGTTAAATTGTTTCTTAAGATATCAGTCACATCAATTCTAAAGTCCTTTCCAATTTTTCTAATATCACTATAAAAAATAAGTCATACGATGTCAAGTACAAAATAAGTAAAAATATATAATACAACTAATAATAATATAGAAGGCTAAGGAAATATTGAGAATGATAATCAGGATTGTATATTATTTTTAAAAATAATATTAATTAACACTAATTTTAATGAAAAACAAACAAAAATAGAGAAACTCGTTGTAGTATAACTAATGTTAGTTAAAGAAGATAAAAATTTGATATGAGTCTTTTACATTTCGAAAACGAACTAAGCATCTAAATAGCAATGTTTAGCAACTGTCCCATGCCAATTTATATATAAGTCATGCAAAATCAATTAGCCATTCAGGATAAGTGTACCCTTTGTTAACAATAAACCTAAAGTTAACACTTCAAATTGAATATTAAAAAATACTTTATAGAAAGATCAGTGCATGGGAATAATGGGTCCCATTGAAGCTATAATCACAGTTTTATTAGACTTGGACTAATTCAATACTGGAGAAAATTAAATGCTGAAGAGGGGAACGGTATTTATAATAATATATAAAAAGCTTATTTGTTAAATTAGTACTATGGGTAAAAGTTGATAAGAACATAATTAGTGAAGAAATGTCAAGATATAAACTTAATAAAACAAGTTGTTATAATTAATATAAAACAATTAATAGAAACAGATAAGTTAAGAAGATGTTTCAGAATCATGCAAAAAGGATATAAATAAGTACAATGTATATTTTGTCAAATAATAGTAATAGAACAAAAATTTATAAATCCCCGACCCTAAACACCAGAAGTCTAAAAATAATGTACATACTTTGCAATATTCAGACCCGTTAACAAAACACGAGGATGCTTCAAAAGAAGAACAAGGGTCTTGGGTAATGATTTGAAAGAAGCAACCTAGAGAAAACAAAGTCAACACATAATCAATATTTTGAAAAATAATTATTACTATTTTTTCACAAACACTACTTAAGATGAAAAAAAATGGGTAATAAACTTGTTATTAAAATTCAATTAAATCATGTTTAAAATTAACCAGATAATTTATTGTAAATATTTAATTAAAAATTAATTTTATTTATAATGATTGACTAAAACATACAAAAAAAGTTTTTTAATACTAGATATTGAAAACTCGAACTTGCATGAAAATTACATACATAGAGCTATTATAAATAAGTTGAATGCAACAGATAAATAATATAATAGTTATGTGCATAATATAGAGTTTGATAATATACATCAAAATAGCTTAGTCTTCTCAAATACTTATTTTGATGAACTGATTTTAAGCTTTTATATTTCCATGAACAAAAAAAAAAAAAAAAAAAAAAAAAAAAAAAAAAAAAAAAAAAAAAAAAAAAAAAAAAAAAAAAAAAAAAAAAAAAATGAATTACATTTATTTTCCTGAAAATTGATCAAAGATAAGATTTGAGTACGATTTATTTGATAAACTAAAGCAATGTTAACTGGCTTAAGGCAGTGTAAACATTTCAATACCCTCTAATAATGCTAATTTTGCCATAGCTTAATTTTGTCAAACAATAATTTCTGCTAAAAGTAGAGGAAATATTGAAGCTTGTGTGATGTGGGCAACAGATTTTCTTACTACTAAGTTAGTCGTCTTTTTTTCTCATTTACCCCTTTCTGACACCAGGATATGAACCTGTAAGCTTACATTGGAAATTGAATAGCTGTAATTTCGTTAATAGTAGTCCAAAATGAACAATTTTTATATAGTATTGAAGGGAATTTCAATACCTTTAAAAAAAAAAACAGGCTAAACGGTGTGGAAGACTCTGAAACATATAGATCCGTCGAAAACCGCATATCCGAAATTTGATCCAATCGCAATACTAAATAATCTTCTTCTTTTTTTTTTTATATTTGTTTATTTAGAAATATTACATTCTGTCACATCAAGGACATTTATAATAGTGATCAGAGAAAGCACACTCACACTCTATTTACAATAAAAAAAAAATAAATAATACAGAAACTTAATAATAATAAATACAAAAAAATAAAATAAAAATAAATACAATAAAATAAAATAAATGTATATAAACAAAAGAACTAACCTAATCATACACACTCGGGCTTGAGTGGAGGATCTGGCCATTGCCAAAACTCCAATAGATGCTTATTTACAAAAGGTCTCTGGGCCACTGCCGCTTCAACCTTCGAGGAGGATTATAAGGATGGGTGGTGCTGGATAGAGATTGTGCAAGGGGATTTGGATGATAGGTAAGGTTCTGGTGAAATTTGGAGAATTTTTCTGGAATAAGGTCTAGGACAAATGGGATATTAAGGTCATGGTGTAGGATTTTGTTATTTACATAGAACGGAGCATCAACTATTGTTCGAAGGACTTTAGATTGAAAGGATTGAATACGAATACTAAATAATAAAATAATAAATTAAAACATGTTTAGAAAATATAATAAGCTGTATCATCGCTAATACTGTAACATCGATTCCGATGATTTTTTTTTTTTTTTTGGTAATTTAATTACCTTTCAAAAGTTTTACTATAAATTTTACTGTATAATATATGCTTAGGGATTTTTCTTTTCTTTATAACTTTTTTTCCTGAATTTTCTCGGGAATTTAGTCCATATAAGAAAATTGAAAAGACAATCATTATAACATTATAGGAAAGTTTCATCAAAATTGTTTTCGCGCTACAGTCTATAGAAAAACATGTTTTTCATTTATTGCGTCACACTCCCCGCCCGCCCCGGGAAAACTCCGTGTAGCCTTAACAGCGAGGAAGGGGAGGGCCCAAAAAAAAAAAGGTAGGAAAGTAATATATTACGAATGGTATCCAAGAAACAATTTATTTTTGGAACGATGCTTGTTGAAATGCTTGTTGCACATTCGGCACATCATTAGTTTTGTTTTTTTGGCAACAGCAGCAGCGACCTTTGGTGGTGCCAATTGGAGATGAAATTGCTGTAGGGCTTCTCTATTAGTCGGTGGAGAAACCCTACATCTCTCTCAAGAGCTACCAGAGCTTGAGTAGCAGATAAACTGTTCAGCTACCGTAGCTCTGAAATCTTCCAGAGGAAGTACTCTTATTTTATCTTCAACCATTTTCAGCTTCTTTTCTCTAAAATTTTTCCTTTATTTAGTTTACAGCTAGTTTCCATAACTTTCTCTTTGTCAAACCCTTCTGAAGTAACCTCATTCGCACATTTCAGTTCTCTTTCTTGCACAACCACTGCAACCAGTCACATGTATTGCTTACTTTACCTCATCGAACTGATCTAAAACATTTTGTTCCTTTGAAATTTTGTTTTTACCTTTCCTGACTGTTCTTTCTCTTTTCTTATTCGTGTCTAGTAACTTTTTTCTTACATCACATTCCTTTTTTTCATCCAAATCCTATCTGTAAGTAAGCCAAGTTTTTATTACAGATATATCCAACAGCTGTCCAAAAGTCACCTGGTATCATTTATGAGACCTAAAATGGGTGCAATATAGAACAATCTACATATCAAAAGGTATACCCCGCCCATGTGTTGATTGTAAGTCTTTATGATAATGATCATAACGACACAGAACATCACAGTAACAACGTTCACCTCTTGGCCACCTCTCGATTGTGCCCATTGAGTTGACTGAAAGACAGATGCTTGCCAACAACACTGGTTTCATATCTAACCACTGAGTGACAGCAATTTTGGTTTTATTGTCACAGCATCCTTCGTAAGCCCATCTTCCTTTTTCCTTCATTTCGTTTTCTGAAGTAATGGGTGCACCTCTTGTTCTATTTCTTCTTATCATTCCCCCAGATAGAATTGCGTATTTTTTTTTTTTTGTAAATGGGACATCAACTCTGGATTTGAGGAGAAATTGTCAAAGTATTCAAAGCTGGTTCTTTCATTGATTTACTGAGAGCCAATAAGAACTGTGAAGAGAAAGGAAAAGTAACTTCTTTTTGGGAGAAATCTAATAAAACACTGGCTGTACAAATAAAACACATAGGCAATACCAGAAACATCCAACCAAATATACATCTTAAAACCCCACTTAACGTTTTTTACAGCATGCACTGTTTGATGGAACTGGGTTTTGCACCTTGTATGACATCATCAGCTCATCAATATTGTAGTATGTTTGGGACGGATCAATAAACAGGTTTTGAAATAAGTTCAAAAATTGAATGAATTATGAAGTAAGGGTCTTCATCGGCGATGTTGGGAGTTGTCATTGAAAAGAATATAGAGTTTTATCGTGACAGATGTTCGGTAGAACATGTTGGAAATTTTCTGATGTCTGAAATGGTTGGTCCAATAATCTAAGAGTATAACTCCCATCTTCAAGAGAATTCCTATGAATCCTCTGCCAGCATTGTGAACCAAATTAAGCTCATTGCCAGTTTCAAGCATGAAGTATAGATTGGAATTACAAACTATATTTTCGGCACCATGTTAAAGTAATGAATGTTAACCCACCCAAAGTTGCACATTTGTTACTTTAACATGGTATAATAGGATCAATACACTCTACAATGAAGTAATCGTAAAAGTAGGCAAGAGGTTAATGTGAATCACCAGTTGGATCAGCTTCAGGAGAAGATATACTTATAGTTTTCAATTTAATGGACACAAAATTGCAGGGTACTAAGACATTCTTATTCTTTTGCGATTTTCGGGTGTTTCTCACTCGGAGTTCTTGGGAGTGGATGTCACGATTGTCAGATGCATTCAAATTCCATCAAATCAAGGATATGGTAGACAACATGTTTGTTACTGGGCGAGTGTTCAGTAACATCCGCTGTGTTACCATCCAAGTCCTTCACAATGATTTTAAATAAACCCCGGATCCCATTTTCCAAATGCTCATCAGTCCACACAATAGTCTTCCTCTGGTTGGTTGTAATGAAGCTCGTCCTCGTTTTCTGGTTCCTTTTTGTCATCTAGTTCATCATCATTATTCTTTATTTTAATCTATTGCCCCACCAGAGATACACACTTAATAAAATAAAATATATAAATTAAACTAAACTAACATTATATATTACTATAATATAATATCTATAATGTAACATTATAAAAATTAAAATGACTAGATAAATGATATAAAATTTTATTATCTCCTTATGAAATATTTATATGAACTACTTTTTCATTTAAGAAAAGATCTCACTTTTTCCTACCGGTTATATGGCATGTACCGGGATCCTCCTAGTATTGTACAATAAGAGATTTATAAAGAAGGAATAGTTTGGAAATTTACTATTTTGCCTGGATATTTCCTAGTGATAGAGCTCACAAGTAATTTTAACTATCTGTCAAATGATAATGGATTACATATCAGAAGTCACATGGAATAAATTGGTAATTTTTTCTAAACAACTTTTCACAGCAGTCATTTGAAGAAAAAAAAAAAAAAGAGATATTATTGGTATTACTGAAGTTCGAATAGTTTTCAAATTAAATAGTCAGAAAAATCTCTTTAATCATTTTTTGATGTCTGATATTGAGGAGTAAAATTAAATCATCACAATGTTATCCAGGTACCATGATTAAAGAAGAAGAATTTTCATTATTTTTACTCCTGCCAACTAGTTCCTGTTGACTAAAAATATGAGCAGTAAAAATTAATAAAAAATATTTTGACAGTATAAAACATATAAAAAGTATTGATAAAAGTGAGATATAATTTACATGAAATAGAAAGCAAATCCTGTCTTCTGGGCACATCTGAATCAAGGCCACTTTTCCACAACCAGGACCAGCTTTATAAGTGAAAGGCCATTCAACATCAAATCCAAAAACAAACTTTGAATCTTTCGGAAAAAATGTAGCGATTTTCCTGAAAATTATATATATGTAGAATAACCAAATTATTTCTTAAATAAATATAAATGCAGAATCTTTTTAGTCTCATTCAGTTATTGAAATGTTTTTCAGTTTAATGTTATTATTTATTTTAGATTTTGACATAACAGAAAGGTATGCAATATAAATTATTGTGAAATATCAACTAATAAACACTTTACTTTAAGAATACTAATTAAATAGTAACAAATTGATCAAAATAATTTTAAAAAGCATTATCATAGATACAAAATAATGAAAACCTAAGAGAACTTGAAAATCTCTAAGAATTAAACTTACAACAGCTTTTCACAAACTGCCCCACAGTCATTGATTGTATTAGTGTAATTAATGAGTCCTTTAAACTTTAACTTTTCAATATCAGGTTGTTTTGAGACATCTTCTGGTTCTCCAGAACCCTAAAAAATATTAAAATTAATAACACATTTAATATATTTTGTTTGCACCACTAAAATATTTAATTACTAGATTAAAAATAAGTTTAGTATATAAATAGTTTCCAATTTATTGATTTTAAGCCAACTTATACTAATTTTTAATTTGGTCAACTTAATGACTACAAAATCTTATTAAGAAGTTTCGGCTTGTCAAACCATTTTCAAGTCTAAAAGAAATTTTTTCAATTTACAATCATTTCCAATAATATTTTGTTAAATTTTCTATGCATAATCATTAATACTTTCTAAAAAAAATTTACATATTTCAAAATATAAAGATTTTTTATATAATTACCCATCATATACCTGTTCACTATACTTCTTATATGAATTACATGTATCTTCTCAAAATAACTAGTATCACGATCGTCATTTCTGCCTTTAATTATTTTATTACATTATTATTATAAATCTTTTTCTTATTAAAATATTTATATATGTTAAATTATCTTATTATGTGTTAACCCACATGTTGTCAGTTTCATATATATATATATATATATATATATATATATATATATATATATATATATATATATATATAAAGTTGACCAAATTAAAAATTGGTGTAAGTTTGCTTAAAATCAATAAATTGGAAACTAAATATTATGCACCGAAGTAGAAGAGAGAAATATTGAGTATATAAATAGTATTTTTTTTTTTCATTTATATAATAAACAAGTACTAAGCTCAAACCAGCTATAAACAGCATATCCCGCAATACAGTATAAAAAAGTTCAAGCATAGTTCAAGGATCTTAAGGCTACCAATTGAATGACTCAATGGTCAACAATGAAAGGAACCTCCTAAACACAAGGAATCGGACAGTTAATTTAAAAAAGTATAATTTAACTGATTTGTTTTACTATTAAAATCCAATAATAATAATAAATAATGGATATTTTAAACTAAAAAAAAACAACAACATAAAATTAGAAAATATTGTGAAAATGACACATCCATTTTTAGCAAATTTATGCAAGATTTTTCTGGATCTTGCACATTACATTATTTCAATTGAGACATCAACTTAAAAAAATTGCAATTATCATAAATTCATCAATTTATAAAATATCTTGCAGGGTTTTGTTAAAATGATTTTTTGACTTAATATTTAAGTACATGAACAAAAAATTAAACAAAAGTTGTGATTGGGCCGGTTTCATGTTCAACCACCAGGTTTTTCCCTTAATCAAAGACACCCAGTGTAAAAGGGCTAAGTGTGTCCCAATAGTCTTCCACGGCAGATGAAACAGAATAAATAATTATCTACCACAGCCAGACTTCAACCTGGGTCCTTGAATAGTGTCTTATTTACTAGGTTATACTCTTGATATGCTCTTATGACAGCAATGACATGATAAAAATTCAATGTGATTTCACTGATACAAAACACAATAAAAATAAATTACCTTTTCAATAACCAACTTGACAGACCAATGATGGTAGCATGATAACTTGACTTCAGCAAAGTCTTCAGGATTTTTTATTTTAGATATTACTTCATCCACTGCAAGAGAAAAATCCTTTCCAAGTTTAGCAATATCCCTTAAATGAAAATAATTAATTAGCATATATAATTAGGCTGTGATGATTGTTGCATTTGTTAAAGGTTTCTCTTCTCTTGATAATGGACTAAAGGCTGAGACGTTTAATGTAAAAAAATAAATAAAGTAGAACTATAGTGATCAAATATGTGTTTTTATTATTACTATTAAAGTGAAGTCCTAACCTACAAATTTGAATACATATAATTAAAAGTTTCATTTAATTTAATATTAATAATAAAAAATGTTCATAATCATACATAGCCATATAAAAGAACAAATCCTGTACAAGACAATAATGAATAAGCCCAAAATTGGTATATATTTTAATAATTTGTGCCACAGTTCAGGCTAGTCATATAAAATGTAATTGTGTTTATAGATGATTTTAGGTATGCCCGAGGATGGCATTACGAATGAATCTTTACAGATTTAGGAAAAATAATATAAAATATAAAGATAAGGTGAAATCAAAAACAGTGTAAATAATTTTGTTTACAGTTAATTTTAACTTTAACATGGACAAATAATACCTACATTGTTTTTCAAATGATTTTTATGTAAGTAACAAATATCAAATACAATTTTAACCACTACTCCAGGCATTTATTTATATATATATATATATATATATATATATATATATATATATATATATATATATATATATATATATATATATATATATATATATACGGGCTGGGGTAGCCGTACGGATTAGGCGCTTGCAATAGGTAATTAAAGTTAAGCAACGTCAAGCGTGATTAGTACTTGGATGGGTGACCACCCGATTTGGGTGACTGTCCACCAGGGAAAGCCATGCTGCCTGAATATCCCCCCCCCCCAACGGGTATGTGAGGCCCATCAGCCTACTGGAGGCAACTCACACGGACCAGGCATAAGACTGATGACCCTACCCCGTGTACTTAAATCGGGATGTGGTTTACCAGGATGTTAATAGCCCCCTGAGGTTTGGTCCATGGACGGTCTGTTTTAGAGAAAGAAATATAGGTCCTCGTGCCCCTGCTGACTCCGAGCAGCCATAATCCATGGATCTAGACCGATTTGTCACTTGTCACTTGTCATTTGTCCTTGAACCCGAGAAAGTCTATGAAGCTACGGGTGGCCTGCCGCTGCACCATGGAAACCATGGTTCGTAGCAACGTGAGGTTGGGTGACCCCCTCCAGGCTATCTGAGCTCCTGCAAGTATCACACGTCTGTAAGGAGACCACATCTCGCGGCCAAAGATCATCATGGTCTGTAGTGCCAACCGAAAAAAAATTATATATATATATATATATACACTGACAGGCAAAAAATTCCACCCACTTGATTTTTCCATGTTTTCATCTAAAAATATTTCTATAAAGTTGTATTTGTATATAATACATCGTATTTGTAGATACTTACTTAGTATTTATGGAATTTTATAATCTTTTTTACCTTTAATATTAATAATTATTATTCTGAAAGAAATTAATTACATCATCGTTTAGTAGCGCGTATTTCCTCCTCTTGCCTTCACTACTTCTTGAAGACGCCTCGGCATACTTTCCACCAGTCGGGAAATGTCCCTTTGCTGGAGGATAGCCCATTCCTCCCAAAGAACCCTTTCAAGGTCCTGCAGTGTATCAGGAAGTGTTGCACGCGCTCTTATTCGTCTTCCGAGGTTATCCTATAAATGCTCAATGGCATTCAAATCTGGAGAACGTGCTGGCCAGGCTAAAACCTCAACATTATTCTGTTGAAGGAACGTCTGCACTATGTGGGCGACATGTGGGCGTGCATTATCATGCATTAGAATAGAACGATCGCCGATTTCGTTGAGGATAGACAACACATGAGGTTCCAAAATCTCATCTACATAGCGAATTGCCGTCAAAGACCCTCCACGAACAACAACCAATTCTGTGCGGCACTCCATTGAAATCCCAGCTCACACCATTAAGGAACCATGTTGGAAAGGTTGGCTCTAGGAAAAATTACAGGCTGCATATCCTTCGTTTCTTCTTTTCCACACCCTTTCATGCCCGTCTGGAGATCGAAGAGCAAATCTTGACTCATCTGTAAAAAGTACAGCACTCTTGGACTCGTCTATAGTCCAATGGCTGTGTTCTCGAGCAAAAGCCAGCCGTGTTACTCTGTGAGTTCTGGTCAACTCTGGTCCTCTTGCTGGACGAAAAGCCATTAATCCATACTCATTTAATCTTCTCCAAGCGGTACGTTGAGAAATTTGCACACCTCGAACTTCTTCGAGCTGATGAATTGCTTGAACAACGGTAAGGTGCCGGTTTCATAAAATTCTCAAAGACAATAACTGGTCATCCTGTGCTTCTGTTACCCTAGGCCGTCCAGAACCGGGCCTTCTATTGTAAGAACCAATTTCCCGAAAACGCCTGACGGCGTCTCATAAAGTTTCATATGGAACTCCGATGGCATTAGCTGCAGATCTAATGGAACGTCCATCATCAATAAGTGCCACACCAGGCGCATAATACTCAGCACTAAGAGGTATTTTTAAACTTAATATTGAAAAAATTAAAAGCCGGAGACTAAGAAATGTGCTGCAAGAAACGGCGCTGAACTAATGATACTGAATAAACATTTTGATTCCACAGAAAGTAAACATTGGAATTTAGAATCATTTCATTGAATTAAGAATTGAGGGTTATTGTCCTCTATATTAACATTCCTAATTGAAAACAAACAAAAAGATTACCTATTTATTCATTAAAACAATAGAACAATCCAAAGCAGAAATATTTTTAGATGAAAACATGAAAAAATCAAGTGGGTGGAATTTTTTGCCTGTCAGTGTATATCTTATATCTAACGTACATGAATATCCTTATAATTAATTAGTTCATAGATATTGTACTTTTTCTTTATTCATCAATTTCTTCAAATTTTGCATATTGTAATATTCCTAGTTCTTGGCTTTGTTTTACTACTTACTCCCACCACTCACAACAATGTCGGTTTTTTCACTAAGACTTGACAGTTAACTGAAACTCTTTGCTGAATACAAATGTAAGTTTCTATTTCTTTTTAAGTCTTATTATTTTCGTTTTCCTTACAATCCTATGTCCACTAGTTTTTATTATTTTTCCTTTTAATCTTTCCTTGAGATTTGTGTGATTATATTCGTAATTGTTTATATTACCCATCCTCTTTATTATATTCAATTTTCCCTATCTACAATAATTGTTACTATTTATTTACTTCAGTTTAGGTTTACCTACTTCAGTCAGTTTACCATTTATTTGTTCAGTTTACAATTTCAATAAGTTTTTTCACATTTTATAATTTTGGATTTTTTTCACACTGTTTATGATATTTTATTTATTCACAATGTTTATATTTTTATCTAAATATCGTGTAACTTTCACATTTTTACTTCCTTTTGTATCTTGTTCATTTTAGCCCTGAAGAAGACCTGCAAACTTGGGTCGAAACGTTGGGATGAAATAAAAATAGTTTTTTTCACTATTTCAGTCTTTTTATGACCGCCAACCTCGACCATCTCCTCACTCAATAATATACAATAGTCAACCTTCTATATTCAATATTCAATATTAAAATTTTAATATTCAAAATAATAATAATAAAAAACTAGTATAATTATCTTTTTTTACTTGTGAATGTTGAAGCCAAGCCAAGTAACATTTGAATGTTTCAGAAGTAATGCTAAAGATTTTGGAATGACCTCCACATTAGCAACCTAAGATAAGACAAATAAAATTAAAATGATAAAGTCTAGATTTACAGGAAACAAAAGGTGGGATTTATTATTTCTTATTAACCATATTATTCATAATAGATATTACATCTAAGGAATTTAATAAGATAAGTAATTTAACAATAAGTTAAAATGCCCAATGTTTTATAAAAAGTCTTAAATTGATTTGGTAAAATCTTATTCTGAATTCAAAAATTTTAAATTTGGTTTGCAAAACTCCCAATTTGGTTTGGAAAGTTCTAAACTTATTTTGAAGAAATCCCAATATAGTTTGAACAACTCTATATTAGACCGTGAAAAATATTTAATTTTTTAGGTATGCTGGTTTTATGGCAGTGATTTAAGTCCAGCCTCACTTCCCTTCCTACAGTGTCCATCGGGAAACGCTTGTGTTATTTTCAGGTAATCTAAATAGACTAACAAGGAAATGGCATCAGGCCAGTAGCGGCATAGTCATGAAAAGCTCTAGACAACAGGCCCAGAGGCCTTCAGGTGGCAACCCCACAACCGGGCTAGGGTGCTATCTGCTAATCACTGGAACACCTGGAAATCAATAATTAAAGAATCCAAAACGAAGGTGGAGCAGGACTCTAGAGAAGGAAATGCCCAGTGCCGGAGAGACCTGGTCTGGAGTCATGGAGCTAGCTAAAGATCGAGATGATGGCAGAACTTCATGACGGCCCTATGTCCCACCTAAGGCATTCTAAGAACTAATAATACAATGATAAAAGTTGAAAAATATTTCATCATGCTAGTTTTACTAATGATATAGCTGTACTTGGAAGTAACCAAGAGAACAATGAGAAATTCGCTAAGACTTAGATAAGAGAAACAGTGCAAAGTGGCCTTCAAGTAAATAAAGATAAAAGAAAGTATATTATAATACTCCCAAAATTCCAACCCAATAACAGGATCTGCATAGAAAAGAAATTGTTCCTAACAGTAGACAAATTCAAATACTTCGGTCCATAATAAACTCAATGAAACGCATAGTCGCAGCTTATAAAAATGGAACGCATATGGAAATAGACCAGCTTATAAGAAGTACAAACAGAGCTTTTTTCTCTCTATCAAAAGTATTGAAAATCAAGGGTTTAAAATGCTATGATATAGCCAGTTCTGATATTAATCTTAATAGTCACTGATTTACTTGAATCTGTCATCGAGTAAAGTCGAGAAACCATTATAAACCACATAGCTGTAGTCAAAAAGGTGGAAAATAAGTGAAGACACATGGAGCTAATGGATAGGTTATGAAAGATAGCAGAAACTAAGAGTAAAAAATACACAGAATGTGATGTTAAGACCCTAGAAGTACAAATAAGAGGAAATTATGTAATCAGGTTTATATATGATTTTCATAATACTAATTTAATTATGATCTACCTAGCAACACACTTAACATCCCTAAAATTAAAATTATCATATTACTTTTTTCCAATGAAAAAATTACACAGACATACTAAGTATAAAACTATAGGTTAAGTTTAACATTAAAGAATTTGCTAAAGAGAAATGTATTGATAAATTAATATTTAGAAACAATGTTTTAAAAATTTAAGGAATTAGATGTAATTGTAAAATATTAAAATCACTCACATTCAAGATAGCACATTCATTTTCCCCACAACAAACATGGATTTGTTTGGTCTTAAACACTGATTTATAAGCATTTGGCCAGTCTAAATCCAAACCCAGAATTAAACTGCTAGTATCAGCTTTATTTCTAGAAAAAAATAACACATATCACTCATTAAAAAAAAAACTAAAATTAAAAACAATACTAGAAAATACTCACAGTAATTTTTCACACCACTCAGCAATATCATAAAAATTGTTACACCTTATAGCAGAACCTTTTTCAACTTTAGGTTGAGACTGAGAAATTTCTATCTAAAACAGATTGTCATAACCTTACTTCAAAAGACAACCTAACCATAGCTTGAATGGAAATAGTGGAAGTTAATACACACCTGAGCACTGCAGGAAATTTTATTTTTCAAAAGATTTTCATTAACTTGTTTGACCATAAATGGCTTCATCCATTCTGGTAATTCTATCTCATCTTTAATTTCCATAATTTAATGAACGCTCATAAAAATATGTTATCGATAAAATAAAAACTTTCTACTTCCTATACTAAGCACTATTAAAAACTTAAAATGATTACACGCCAAAATATAGTACAGATCAAAAAAAAAAAAATTGGCCAGTTTACCAGCCGATTACAACGTACAATTTAAAAAATCGCGGGAAAATCTGTGAGATTGCCTATCGATTATTAAATGTCGACATAGAGACGAATACCCAGTACTGCCATAAATATTATTACAAGGAAATACACAGATTTCAAGAGAAAAATTTATTTTTTCAAAAACTTTATTAGAAAATAAAATGTATATCCGTAGACAGTAAAACAAAACATAAATTTCTCAAAATGTCCCTCTTTTGCCTTGACACAGGCATTTAATCTCCGTGGCCAGTCATCAATAGCAGTACCCTGCACTTCTTGAGGAAAGCGCTCAACTACTTGGAATGTAGCTTTGTGGTGCCATCAAAGCAAACTCCCAACCAGGCCATCACGGTGATAAAGGGTGATGCCCTTTTTCCACTCTTCCAATTACCTCTTGGGCTTCTTTAGAGCTGTGTGCGTACACACGAAAATTTTGGTGATTAAATTTTTCTTCAATTGTAAAAAGTTTCTCATCGCTAAACAAAATATTTCGATGAAGACCATTGGTGTAACGTCCAAGGAGTATTTTACATCTATCAACTCAATTTTTTTTACGGAAGTGGTTAGCCTTTGTTATGTCATTCTTTGAAATCTACCCACCCTAAGGTCACTTTGTATTATGCGAGACATTGATCTGACAGAGATTACCATTTCCCGATACATGATTTGTTGTTTTCCAGTGGAATTTCTTCTGATTCGAGCAGCCACTGCTCTCACTGCATCTGCCGTTCTCACAATTCGGGAACGGCCCGGTCGAGGTCTGTCACATACAGATAGGGTCTCATTGTATCTATTTATAGTGAGGTACACGAACAAACGGCTGATACCCTAAGGTTTCAAAGTGTTGGAAATTTCTGACCTACATTTTCCAACTTTGTGTAAGGCGATCACAGTTATTCGGTTTTCTTTATCACCCTACTCCATGTTAACTGAGCGAAAGAAAGATACAAACTAATTGGGATTATTATCCTGATATGTAAAGAAAATAACCTGATAGAGGTAAGGATTATCTAAATAATACCCAAGGATGTAAACAAATTTCAACTTTTGTATCAATATTTATGGCAGAACTAGGTATAGTTGGCCATATCGTCTGTTAAGTTCTTGTCTTTTAAGTCTAGTATGCGGGTTACACGTTAGTCTTTGGTCTAAGGGAAAGCCAAGATACCGGTCTGTATCTGAAAAAGGAAAAAGGACAGGCTATAATCTAAACGAGGGAAAATTAGTGAGGAAACTAGGAGCTCACGTATTTTAAGGAGCATAGAAACACGGAATTTTAAGAATTGTTTGAGGGTAGCAATGGATTTTCGGATTATTTGGGAAATATGGTTATTCCAGAACAGGTTCTGATCAAACATTACCCCAAGATTTCTAACGGAAGTATGGAAAAGGATAGGTAGGCCATTGAGGTAGAGAAGGGGGTAATAAAGAGTGAAATTAATTAGGTGCTTGGAACCAATGAGAATGGCTTTGCTCTTCTCAACATTCAACTCAAAATTTCTGAAGCCTTTGGATTGCCACACCACCAAGCATCTTGGTAGGATAAAAGGAAAGGTAGATTTTGAGATTGTCAGCATATAAGTGATATTGTGAATGATGGATGAAATCTGGAAGGTCGTTGATGTAGATGGAGAAAAGAGTTAGGGAGAGCGAAGATCCCTGAAGAACATCACGGGTAAATGAGAGGGGGCAGGGAGGAGTTTCATTTGGTATGGTGACTGTTTGGGATCTTTCACACAAGAAAGAATGGAACCACTTTAGAGCACTAGAAAAGTTTTTGAGTTTGGAAAGGAGAATTTCATGATGTACTGAATCGAATGCTTTTGAGAAACATTTTTGATTTACCAACCTTCTCGCAAGAAAGTATTATTGTCATTATTATTAATATATATATATATTTCGGTTGGTAGTACAGACCATGAAGATCTTTGGTCGCGAGATGAGGTCTTCTTACAGACATATGCTGCTTGCGGGAGCTCAGATAGTCTGGAGGGGGTTACCCAATCTCACTTTGCTACGAACCATGGTCTCCAGTATGGTGCATGCATGTATGGTGCAGTGGCAAGCAATCCATAGCTCCATAGCCGATCCCTTTGAGGCCAATTTGGCAATGTCCTTCCCACCGACTCATTCGGGTTCAAGGACAGAGACAAATCGGTCTAGATCCATGGATTATAGCTGCTCGGAGTCAGCAGGCGCACGAGGATCTATATTTCTTTTCCCCAAACAGGCCGTCCATGGACCGAACCTCAGGGGGGCTATTAACATCCGGGTAAACCACATCCCGACACCCGATTTAAGTACACGGGGTAGGGTCATCAGTCCTACGACCGGTCAGTGTTAGTTGCCTCCAGTAGACTGACGGGTCTCATATACCCAGGCGGGGGAAACTCGGGCAGCATGTTTTTTCCTGGTGGACGGTCACCCATCAAGTACTAACCATGCTCGACGTTGCTTAACTTTGATTACCTATTGCAAGCGCCTTAGTCCATACGGCTATTCAGCCCCTATATATATATATATATATATATATATATATATATATATATATATATATATATAGGAGCTGAATAGAGAGAGACAGGTACAATTGGAAGCTACCCATACTATACGGAGCGGCTGGCGTTGTCACCTTCATCAATTGGAATTGTCCAGTATAAGTTGGCTTGGCTATGTGGAGGAGCTACCGGAGGAAAGAGTGCCAAGGAAAGTGCTGTATGGACAACCTGAAGGAAGAAGGCCACCACTCATTAGATAGATGACGAAGAGGGTGATCTGAGAATACTTGGTGTCATTATCGGTATCAGAGTGAACTCTACGAAGACTGATGTCATTTCAGAATGGTAAGAAGCCTCTGCCTACCCACTTCACCATTGCAGGAATTAAATAGCGGATTGTTATTTCGATTCTCTTCCTCAGCGTCACACTGCATAGGCACCTTCTCCAGTCACATCAGGCAGAGGCTCAAGCAGCCTAGACAAAAGGCTTACCGGTAAAATCACCCGTTGACATCGCCGCAGCTTTCCTTGCGACACAAGCTAAAAATTTACAAAGCCATTATCCGACCTACAATTGTAAACGGCCCTCCACTTCTTCGGCACCTTTACAAAGCTACACTCCGAAGTCTGCAGGACTTCCAGAGCTCTGTCCTTCCGCGAATTGTCTGTGGCATCAACCTACGAAGGGTAAAGAATAGAAAATCCGAGAGGTGATCCACATGAACTCGGTGCTCGAGTTCATAGGCCGGAGGCACATCAAATGTTTTTTATGGGCTGAAGGCCTTTGCTAATCCCTTATTCTAGGATATCCCCCACCACACAGGTCTGAGATGTGGCAAGACCAACTTTGGTTAATGTACTTGCCACTAGCGGAACCAGGATTTCATTTTGGAGGGAGACTTCAGCGAGAAAGCTTTTTTTTTTTCAAATATAACGATAATTATTTTGGAAGAAAAATAAAGAAATTAACTATCTATTCGTGTTTAAGAGATTCTTGAAGTCCTATTAAATTTTTACACGAACAATAATATTTTAAGAAATAATTTTTCAATATTTTTTTCCATAAAACATTGTCATATTTTACCATTTTGGGGAACTTCAGCTCGAAAGCCCCCTCGTAGATCCGCCTGTGGTACTCACCGATGGAAGTAGTCTGGACTGTACAGTCCAGATCCAATTGTAAATATTTTATAATAGTTCTATATATGTAGAGAGAGAGAATCACTTTATTATCATAAAATAAAATAAAATGGTGCTGCCCAATTACATTGGGTTGCTAACAACACAGCATACTTATTAATCACTACAGACATTATTTAAAATTATTATACAATTATAGGATTAACAATATGTATGAGCATAGTATACAATATTGTATAGGTATATATATATTTTTTTTTTCCTTTTTTTTTAATAATTTTTACTATTTCTTTCATTCATTTATTATCATTCTGTACCCTTTCTCTTCCTTCTCTCCCCCTATACATGTTCCCACTCACTTTCTCTCCTCTCTCTTTCTAACCTAATACATAAAAAATTCATAAAGTACAGTGGACGTGTTCAATAAATAATAATATAAAAAATGCTGTAACACACGCATGCCTCCCCCCCCCCCGCGAGCAAACTCTCCCCCTATCCGCTCCCATGCACATGGTGGTGGATGATTCCCAGGGAGTCGAGGATTATACTCTCTGCCAACCTTGCCACGTCCTTTATGTCGACACCAAGGCCCTCCATGAAGCTCCTTGTTGAGTCTGGTATCGTTCCGCGAGCTCCGAACCAAAGGCCTCTCACGTGGAACTCTCTCGGCCCGAAACTCTCGCGGAACTTTTCACTAAGGAAAGGAATGCATTTCTCATATATCTGTTTTTTCTCCCTTTCCACTTTTTCTGCCTGATCGAGGTCGTTGGTCTCATATCTCACGGTCGGATCCAAAATCATCGCCGACTTTCCCGTCTTAGGGAATGCTACAATGTCGGCATATCGGGTGGATCCATCCGTATCTATACAATATACTTCCTCGAAACAGGCGTATTCTCTCTCTTCAAGGAGCCTCATCAGTTCATGCTTGACTCTGTGGTGACGGCGTGTTATAAGGAGGGAGTTGTTGGGGCATTTTCCAAGCACATGTGCTGGTGTTTCTGGCTCTCTGTCGCATTTAACAAACTAGCAGAATGGTCTCTCCCACCCCGTTTAATGATTGTTACATCACCTGGTGCTACAATTTCATGGCAGTATACAATATGGTAGTGCATTAACAAATATATATATATATATATATATATATATATATATATATATATATATATATATCCCGTGGCAGCCTTACAGTTAGCGTGAGTATGTT